AGGATAATCAACGTTTTCAGTCAGAGCTATAAATACGGTTTACATAATTGGAATACGATGGCGTTGATTGCACTGCAACTCGGGAGGAATAAAAGCGTCGAAGAAGTTTATAAAACGCTTTTTTCCCGAGAAAAAAACTGATAAAGGGTTAAGAGGAATTCTCTGGCACGCAATCAATCGTGATAGATACGAGCACAAGTCGTTAAATCGCGCGTAGGTGCGCTGTGCGCGTGTGACTCGTAATCACATTTAAATTTCAATCGAGACACAATCGCCATTAATGGAAACCGTACAAATTGCACATGAGGATGTACCCGTTTTTTTCCGACGACGAGTAACCAACATCTCAGAACTTGTCAGCATCGCGATTAATGTCCGCTTGCGAAATACGGCTAATAACTTTAATCGACTCATAAGCAAAGACTTTGTCCTCTGGTATATACTTAAGAAAATGGGTAGCAAGCAACTGTAGAAATGACTAATTGCATGGCGAGCATAATCGCAAGTATACAATGTAAATATCTCTGCTTTGCTGCACTTTCTTCCATATACATAGAACCTTTACGCCAATTATAGCTAATTTTTTTTCACACACAAATATCTTGTAAAACATTATAATATTGAATTGATAAAAACAATTAGAAATTATTTACTTTTCGTATATCTTAAAAAATTGGAGTATAAAATAATTATCAAAATTTCATTGAAAGTATTCAAAGTGGGTTTGAAGTATCTAAAGGAATCATTACCTATATGTATATAAATCGAAACATACAAGATTTTACTGACTTTACTTAATGAATGTCTTATCGACATTAATTTCACTTTCTTTAATCTTGCGCGAATATCCGTAGCAAAGTTTCTCTTTATTGCAAAAAAAGAGCGAAAATTAATTGATGACGTATAAAGGTCGGGCGTGATCTAACAAATTACCGATATGGGATGCAGGCACGCGCCGATCTGTTTAAAGAGTGACTTTTGCGAGGTCCGTGATGCCAACTCGTGAGAGATCGGACTATAAAAGCCACGTAACTTTTCGCCTTGGGGCAACCAAGCAACCGGAGGTCGACCGAGAAGGGACGGTGCACTTGACTCTTGACGAGATCGAGATCGTTCCGTGAGATCACGTCCTCGTAGATTTCTCTCATGGACCACAAATTGAACGACATGGGGAAAGGAGTCGGGGTAGGAAGGAAACAATCCAAGAAGGAAGCCGTAGTTAGTCCTTGTCTGAAATAGAGCGTTACATATGCCTGCGCGATTCCTGATTGGAATAATTAATTTGCACGGAAAGAGAGCTGAACGCAGTGATTAGGCCTAATTTGCGAGATATGCGTTAAAGTGCGCCTTGTCCTCGCAAACTGGAGATTGCCTGAGTCAGTCGGTCTGAACAAGGTCGAAATACGTCAGGAAGCTTCCCAGAATCGATCATGCTATTTTTACGCGGATCAACTGGATGCCGATGATGCTACCTTTGATAAGTTGAATTCAAATGATTGCCGCTGATAATCTCGCATTGCAAAATCATCGTTTCGTTGCGATTAATCTAACTAGACGATGAATCTAAATCTAAAATCTAAAATCATGAACCCTTCATTATCCGCGTGGAATATCTGAAACATCTCGATCATATAAACTAATTCACCCTCCAAAAAAATGTTCCATTCTTTAGCCTCTCTTAATTCTAGCGGATTTTTCTCTAATATATGATTCAAGGAGAGAGTATAGTGGAATTTTCTATAGAAGAACTTATACTTTTGATTCATCTATCCAGTTTTTAATAGATAAATACATATTATAAACATAATGCCTCGTATAAATTTTTTTGCTTAGAGCAAATGCTAAGAAAAATTCCTCTTTCATAAATAGAATTTTTTTTGTTAAATATATAATACTATATTTATATATATTATTCTATTTAAAATTCCTTTTTCATAAATAGAATTTTTTTGTTAAATATATGGTACTATTTATATATATATAAATTATTCTAATGTAATTTTTTAATGTAATTTTATCATAATTAAAAAAATTTTTTTAATTATTTTTTATTTATCTTTATCTAAAGGACGTGTAGAATATTGTGTAGAATTTTTATTTAATTAAATCATTAAAGAGAACAATGAAAATTGAGATGATAATGTTGAAGTGTCAGAAACGCGTGACTAATTAAAAAACTTGAACGCGAGTAATGTAGAGTTAATCGCTATCAGGCATAATTCCAACCCGCATCGCGTAATTTCTGCTTATATTGTATAGTCTTATATTCAATCAATCAAACTTTCGAGCATCATTGGCGTCTAAAAAATTTAGTATTTCACGAGATGAATCATTATTTTATCGCGATACAAATGTTACAAAGTAATTTTATCATAATGGAAGGATTAATCACGATTACTGCAACTGGCTATATGAGGGAACAATCGCCTCCCACGCGACCGTAGGTATTACAAAATTTCTGTAATACTCGGTCAACAGTAGTCACGGTCGGCGTTTTTCATTTTATCCAGTCTGATCACACAAAAGAAAACGTGCGATTCACACGCCTTGGCATGCCTTCAACGTTGCATAAAATAGAGCGCGCGATTGTTCCAACGGCATAGATACGATGGTGCGGAGATGCCATCACATCGGATGCGTTTCTTCAAGCGTGCCGTATTCATGAACAGAGAGAACTAAATCGACGAGCAGTTTGCTACTCTGCCATCGTTATTTATGTGAATTTGCACTAACGAGAGTAGTTATCTGATTTTTTTTTATGTAACCAATCACCTTTTACATTTCAACTAAAAAATTATTATTTTTTAATAATATATCTTTGATTTTTTTTTTTAATTTTATTCATTAATATTTATTAGTATTTGAAAACAATGGATATGGTTTAAATCAATTTTCTAAAAAAAAAACATATAAATCAAACAAATATAAACAGAATAAGCACGTTAAATAAATTATGACAATTTTTGTAAAAAAAAAAAAAACATTTTTGTTCCATCTTCGATAAAATTATATATTTAAAGATTCATAAAGAATAATTATAAAAAAAAGAAAATATATAAAATAATATCTCTATACAAGACAATATTTTATTTTATAATTCACATTTTCTTGCCGCTAAGTATACAAACATTCAGGGGTGATTATTTCCGAATTAAGAACGACTTGATGACAAGAAAGATAGAGAATTCTGTTTTCTTCTCATATCAGTATCGCTGTCATGCAATACATGTGAAAAAATTATGAGCGCGTTTGTGAGTTGCGACGACGAGTAATACCAACAAAAGAGGTCCAGATTACCCGAATTGACATAAAAATCAGGTAAACCAAAGAACATGCGATAAGGTGAAACTTCCGGTCGTTGGTCTTTCTTACGACCGACAAACACACCCGAAGGACGGTGTGAATTATGAAGTACAAGACTACAGATACTTTGTCACAAAAATAAAAAAGTAGACATTTCGTTACATGTTAAAGTATAAGACTGAAGTATATTTCATGATAGCAAGAATCAATGTTTAATTTAATGATAATGAGGCCATTTTATTTTTCACAAATGAAATTTTTCATCGAGAATTTCATATTTCTATAAAAGCGATTGTATCAAAATCGATTAAAATTTTCTCATTACATTTTATAATATCATTAATAAAATCTTGAATAAAACAAGATCTCTCTCTCTCTCTCTCTCTCTCTCTCTCTCTCTCTCTCTCTCTCTCTCTCTCTCTCTCTTTCACTACGCATTATTAATAATTCACGTTATTCTTATCACCATTCATCATTTGAAGAGCAATTTGTATACATACACGGAGAGCAATGATTTTATTATATAGGAACAAATCAAGGGAAAGCAAATGTAATATTTGTTAAAAAACCGATCGATTTGTTACGA